TTTTGGGGCTGTTGCTGGGCGAAACTTTCAGCTCCCTCCAAAGATTATCTATGGGGTTGAGATCTAAAGACTGGCTAGGCCCCTCATGGACCTTAAAATGCTTCTTATAAAGCCGCTCTTTCTTTACTGGGTGATGTGCTTGGGATCACTGTCATGCTGAAAGACCCACATTTTGTATAATACTTTTAACAAGACCGTTACTGTGGGTCATACTGAACTAAACACCACACCGGTATTGTCAGGACTGATCATCCTACAGCTCCTCCTAGGTGCTGGATCCACTAGGTCAGTCAGTTCTCCCCCGCCCAGCTCCTCGTCCCCGCAGTCGCGTATAATTAATAAAAGCATATGGGTCATTAGATGGCTATAATGTATTTGTGTCTGGACATGTGGGGCAGATATTTAAATTTTATTCTGTCACGAGACTTTATCACGATGTGGGTGGTTTATCCACTAGAACTGACCGTTAACCACGGCCTTCAGCGTATTATATCAGCTGGGAACCTGTAAAATTTTACCTTACTGTCATTCTATCATCTGCTTGTGCAGCCTACACCTACACGTGTGTTAACCATGCAGATGCATTTTATTTTGCCACAGTTTAGCTCTGTTTATTGAAAACTAACAGATAAATACAACTGTGGTCCACAGGGAGCTGTCGGCTTCTTGACCTCCAGCTTGGGGCTGGGGGGCGGGGGTGTGGGCACGTGACGTCACCCTTCGATGGGTTTATATAGTGAAGTGCTGCACCTTATTCTTTCTTTATACATAAGGGAAATCATTACTTTTGTGTGGCTGCTATTTAACCAAAAAATTGACTCTACATTAATTATGCATTTTCACACTTTGGCGAGACATTGTTAAACACATGAATTCAAAGTGTGGGGTTTGACATAAAAAAGCTGTAAAATAAAGATTTTGGGTTCAGATTATTGCCTAATGAGGAAGGGACTAAGTTTTAGTGATGTGTCAGTCGCGAACGAATCGGCTCTAAGAGCCGGCTCTTTGAAGTGAACGACGAGAGCCGGCTGGTCATTGGGAGCCGTCCCCTCCCCTCCCCCCTCCCCGCTTGCTTTGGTGAAAGCTACAGGCGATTGGTCAACATGTGTAACTGCATGTCCAGACTGTCCACACACAGAGCAGTAGGGGCGGGGAAGAAGGAGGATCAGACTCAGACACACAGCAGAGCACACGCGGGTGGAGGGAGACAGAGGGAATGAGGAGGAGGAAAAAGGCGAGCGAGAGAGAAGAGAGTGCTACAAAGACGGTGAGAAAATGAGCACCAGCAATCAGAAAGTGGAGATTTCTTAAAGTGTTCGGTTATTAAATCCATAGAAATGATACATTTTTGATATATTGCGTTTTTTTTTTTTTTTTTTTACATTAGTAAATCATTTTACATATAGTTTTGCATTATTTTGGTTATAAATGGACTCTACGCAACAGAAAATCTGAGGAGCCACTTGGGAGCCGAACGAGCCGGCTCTTTTTGATGAGCTGAGCCAAAAGAACCGGCTCTCTTAAAAGAGCCGCAATTCCCATCACTACTAAATTTTAAAAGATGTCTAAAAATTAAAATGCCTAACTGAAGTGCATTTCCATCATCACTAGTGCGGCATCTTTGCTTTCTCATTTTTAATGTTACCATATTGACTTGACTTTACAAAGATGTGCATATTCACAGCATTGTTTTCTTATTTTTACACAACCTCATAATGACACAAATATTTTATAAAAAAAGTGAACTCATAGTCTGATTTCCTGGATTGATTCAGCAGAACTAATGTTTTTATTATGTTGTCAGAAAGACTGGGAACCTGGAAAAACGAGACCCTAACACGTCCTAAGTGAATAAATTCAACTCTTCAATCCAAAGCAGGTGAGATCAGACTTTCTTTTTCTTTCCATTTTTTCATGTTTTGGTTATGATGAACTCAAGACTGTTTTTTTCCCCCCTTTTTGGGCAGCACACAAAAGAGCCTTATGTTGACATTCCTAGTGTAGGGTTGGCAAATTGAGTGCTTTAAGAGCTCAATATATATTACCGCTACTTATGATCAATAAGCTGTGATACTCTAAATATAGAATATCAGCTCTGCTTGGTCTTTGTGTGTTTATCAGAAAATCTAGGATTCTTTCTTTATTAAGGAATTGTACACACTTCGTTTTGATTCAGAAAAGTCAGGTTTATAAAAGTAAGAATTTATTTTACAAACAATTAAAACATGACAATTTAACTAAGCATTTACTGTGATGTATGAACCTAGGTGTGAATGCGGTGTTAAGCCTGATTTATGCTTCTCCGTCTGCGTCAGTGCGGAGACACGCAACGCCATGATCCGTCCTTGCGTAGGGCTCTGGCAGGCAAGAAAGTACATACGGAGTCGAGCCCACTTTTTTAAACATCCGTCGAACGAGACGGATTACGTAAGCTTGTGATTGGTCAGGACGCTGCTGTTGTTTACAGCGCCGCCATTGCAAAGAGAGCCGAGGATAACTAGAGGCAGACACGGAGAAGCTTGAAGAATACCTCGCGAAAAAACTCTAAAAATATGAACGTTTAATTCTCCCGTGACTGGAGGAGTGAAAAGATGCGCAGCAAGCGTTTTATTTGTGGACGGAAATGACAGGAAACGTGGGTTTAGAGGTGGGGAGCGCATGAAGAGGTGGGAGAATGAGAGACAAATACGTCCGTGTTAAAAGTCTCTTATATACACAAAAACACAATATAAACACACGATCTTGGACCGATACATGACAGGATACCACAGAACAGCGCTACGCCCTCTGTTATCCTGCCGGTCAATTGCTTTGCAACACTCTCCAGGAGATGGAGAAGTATGAGAGCAAAACGCTTCCGTCAATCCGTGCGTGTCTGTCCCTTGCGGAGCTGACGGAGAAGCATAAACCAGGCTTTAGTCAGAACTTTCTTATCTAGGAGAGCTGAGTTCTGGATGTAAAAGAATTTAGGTTGCGCTAAGCTATGAAGTTGATTATTATCAAAAGCACATCAGACACTATCTGTGTGTCTACTTCACCCATTTTCGGAGACCCTCTTGGTGGAGACGAAGGTCAGAGAGGTCGTATGACCTCTGGCACCGGAGGGCTGTAGAATACCGTGGCACCGACGTGTCATTCCAGAGATGTCTCGGGTCACGACAGATGGATGGAACCGCGCGTCTGGGACTCTGAAGGAGTCTAAACAATATCAGCTTGTTCTGCAGGAACTGTTGCGGTATCAGCTTCGCAGGTGCAAAAAGATTTTGACGATGTGCCAAAATCTTTGATGGGTTAAAGAGGGTTTTGCTTCAGGTGGCCGGTCTGAAACTTTCTCTAGAACTGAGAGATCACCTGAGAGTGATCCAGTTTTGATGTTCTCATGTTATGATTTGTGTAGCCAACCAAATGTTGACAAGTTGAGGAATATTACCAAGACAACTCAGAAACACGCCTTCTTTGATACAGAGGCTCTGACTAGGGTAAAAGACTATTTATGTGTCACGAGTTCAACTTAACCTTACTTGTTCTTGTGTGAGTGCAAGTGGTGATGACCTTGCCATATAAACAACATAACATTCATTTCAAACTTCAGTCATTGAGCACAGATTAATGAAACATTTCATTATATTATAATTGTTACAAGTAACAATTAACAAATGTTTATTTAATGATTATCTAGCTTGTAAGTTGTAGAAGAAGTTCACACTGATTTAGGAAATCATTCTTGATTTAGCAACTGATCCGAGCCGGAGTGTTCCTTATATGGAGGCATGAAGACCCGAAAGATTGGACCTTGAGGAGAGAATGTTGTTGTTGACATTTCGTTATCTGTGTTCAGAGCTGCAGGCTCTGAGCTGATGGGATGAAGGCAGGCCAATTTAAAGGGAACACATGCAATCTTGTGTCTCCTTTTTGACCAGATGTTGAATGGTCAAACAGTACCTAAAAACTGATCATTGCTGGACGTTACACTAGGGATTTAAACATTGATGCTTTATAAAAGCCTTTTACAGTCAGGTAGCTACTGGTGCGTCATTAGATGCTTAGAGAATGTGTCTAATGTGTTTGCATATTGAGAAAACAACAAGGACTAAGGAAGTTATTTAAAGCAGTGACCCTCTTCCTTCTGGGCTGGAACACAGTGTGAGGCAGAGGCTGAGGCCTTCCCTTAAGCAATCAGGGGGGCAAGCCTTTACAGTGTTAGCACTGATGGCTCATATGCTACCTATCAATCAAAAGGACACACATCTAAATGTTCATAATTTCAAGCTTTGAGAGCATCTAAACAGATGGGTTACAAATGTGTGTTTTTTTTTTAACTAGGCTGTAAACATGTTTATTTCTTATGCATTTTTAACATTGGAGTCAATGGGAATTTGCTCATTTCTGGAGCGAGCCCCTAGTGGACGAGGGGGGAACTGTAAGTTTTATCACCTCCACATTGGCTTCCCTATTAGCAGCTGGAGCATGCCCCTCAGTAGGGATGCACAAAGCTGTGTTCAATAGGTCAGTTTGGGTAAATATGGATAAATAAACATTGAAGATCATCTATCAGAACCAGCATCAGTTTTCTGTTGCAGTGATACATTTATGCTGTTACTTAGATGAAAACCCTGTGTAAAAGTTAAGTATTTGTGTATTCCTCCAACATTTCTGAACAAAACTGTAGAGTTTATCCTATCCTGAGCTTGGACGATCCTCTCCCAGCTACAGCAGTAAAATTACCCACAAAAACACCAATCATGATTTTTTTTTTACCTCACTCAGACAGCAGAAGCTATCAGACCTGTCTGAGACATCTTGGCAGAGAACATATTGACACCTTTTAGGGATACATTTTCTTCAAGGACAGCGGGACCTCATCTACAGTAGAAATATGCTAAACTGTGTAAATCCCTCAATGATTCAGGAGTTATAAAAAGGTGGGATTTTTACAACACCCCAGCCGTCTTCTAGGAAAAACATGAAACCAGACAGAACTGTGTGGAATGGTGAATTACCTTGGCATGTGGCTGCTGAAAGGTGACTCTGGAGCTGTTGATGAGTGATGAGTATCTGAATAAGTGGGTGGGGGAGGTGGGGAATCGGTGACTGCTGCTGGGCTGGTTGTGCAGGACAGCTGAAAAGCAGATGTGAACTGTGTCCTTCAACGCCTTCAGCTGAGACTCCTGTCCCACAGATAAGAAAAAAGAAAAAAAAAGATTACACACATATGGTTTCTGAATCCCTTCCATCTCTCCTCCTATCCACGTGAAAAATGTACTTTAGCAATAAAGCCAGAGGAGGTCATGCTTTAAAGTGACTTCAAAACACCTAGAAGGCATCGTTAGACGACGCATGAAGAAGAACTCACCAGAGTAATAAAATAATGTCTACAAAACAGTTTGTAATCAATAATAACTGAAAGAATTATTAGTCTAATTATTTTACAGTAGCCCCTCATGTTGATACTCCTGAGAAAAACACCACAGATACTTTTTTTTTCAACGTGCTTTTTTAAGGAAGGCTTTTATTTTTTACTCCTGTCAGTAGTCAGGTGCATAAATAACAAACCCCCAAAATTAAAACTGGATGCACATGTTGGAAGGGTTGAAACCACACTCCTATTAATGAGAAAATGCAACAGTCAAGATCAATTTATTCAGGATTCATTTTAAAACTGTGGATGTTGTAAACAGATCCAAACAAGAATACCAAAATGGCAGCAGAAACATGTTAAAGATGCTCTGACTAGAATCTGTATTAAATACCTTATCCAGTGCTGTCTTCTCCAGTTCTTCCTTGGCTACAGTTAGTTTGTGCTCCAAGTCCAGAAGCTGCTGGCCCTGCAGAGAGACATGACATATAAACCAGCCTAATCATCAGAAACTCTTCAGCACTATTTCCAAAAAGCTCCATATTCCTGCTTCAGTAACTGTCTTTTTAAAGCTCTCTACAGGCATTGATTTATGAACAGTTTTTGAACATTAAACCATGTGTGCATTAGCAGCCTCAAACACTCAGATAAGTCATTGAGATATTGATAATTAAGAGCTCGGCTTCCCCGTCTAAAGTGTTTGAAAAAGCCTCTGGTCTGTTTCGTGGAATCCATGAATAAGCAGAATTGAGAAGGTCTAAAAAAGCAAGTTTAACTTTAATATAAAGCCACTTCAGAAAGATATTATCTTCCTATTCCCACAAAGAAAAAGTAAGATCTTGATCTTTCCTAGAACAGACACCTTGAAATTCCGCCCATCTCTTGATGATTGTTATTTCTCAAGTGTAGTTCCCGAACTGAAGGGCAAACACAAAGGGGCCGTTTTCAGTAAATGAGCTGATATAACCTCATACAGGGATCAACAGAACTCCCTCAGAGGACTCTTTTATTATTGATAAACTCATCAGCGAGGAATGAATTAAAAGAATGAAACCCCATTTGGGCATCATTTGCATGTAGTATGTGTTTAACTGTCCTTGGTAGTGGACTTTGAGCCATGAACTTTTATTGAGTGTGTTTTAGTGACCTTTCAGAAAGACAAACTGCATAGGCTCTTGTTCTTAAACATCCAAGGTCAGGTAACTCAACAAATAGTAACCACAATCCTGGGAAATTCTATGTGACATTAAAAAGTGTGATGAAGATCCTGGCTGATTGGCTTTTTTTTCCCCCAGTATACTTTATGGACTTTGTTGAGCATCACTGAATTTGGACACAGCTGGGAAACCTGGCGTCTTTACAAGCCTCATCTGCTTTTTCGTTCATTTTCTTGCATCTATTTATAGCCTGCCCTTTGCATTTTAGTGTGGCAGTAATGTTTTTGCCTCTGTCTGTGCATGCGTGTTTGTCTGATAACAAAATATTGTACATGGGTTTTACTTTAGCTCTCTGAAAGACACAAAACCCCATTTAAAGCTGCTATAGCAAATTTGGAACACTTATACATACTAATATTCTAACATAGTATAGATATAAACATATTATGGAGAATAAAAACAATTAAAAACATTAACAAAGTGGTTCTTCCACATTTGTCTAAAAGCTATTAGATCATGCCATTGTTGGTCTCCCCAAATCGGCATAAGGCTGTTCGGTCATCCATTCATTACGCACATTTTGCAACAGAACACCACTGGTATCAAAGGTTCACGGCTCAATACTATAAGAGAAGGAGAAACAGCCGACTGCCACTTCAACTTTAGGACAAACTACCAGAGTCCCAAAAAGAAAAACACCATTTGAAATAATGGACCACAAAAAACGTTGGATCTACAGAATGGGGCTATCTCATTTCCTCTGGCATCATGGGTTTAAGGTTAAGGTAGACACAGCTCAGGGAAGATACCCGAGAGAAGGGGTGAGTGTTCCATGACTGTGGGTGTTTCTTAATGCTAAGGAACCTCACCTTGATGCCCTGGTCCTGCTCTGGTTGCCTTGGACAGGGCTATTCAATTCTGGGCCTCAAGGGCCAGTATCCAGCACATTTAACTGGTTTCTCTGCACCGACACACTAGATTCAGTGGTTGAATCAACTGTGCAGCAGCTCATCAGGCTCTGCAGAAGCCTGTTCACCTGCTGATTGAAATCAGGAGTGTTGAAACGGGGTTGAAACCAAAACATGCTGGATACCGGCCCTCGAGGCCCAGAATCGAATAGCCCTGGCCTAGGAGACACATCATCAGGAACCACCAAGGCGCGTTCAAATGTTGATGTGCTACCAAGGCATATGCTCTCCGTTTGTTAGCCATTTAGTTAACTGATTAAGGATACACGAGAGGTGTCTTGTAGCCTGGTCTTGGTCAAAAACTTCCCAGCATATCACAGTATAAGGATGGCAAATCAGGAGCCAAGAGCTACTTCGATGCAAATTTCCAGTTTAATTGTAAGTCAACCTACTGTAGCTACCAGACTGATATCTAAAATGTTTTTTTTTATCCACAGCAGTTGTCTATAGTTGGTTAGTTGCTTAGAAGATGCAGCTTCGGTGGCTAGCAGGTAACTCACTTATATATTTAATTTAACCAATATATACACTGGGGTGGGGAACCCTGGTCCATCGAGGGCCACTATGTTTCACACCAGCCACTCAATGAGGCTAAAAATGAATCACTTTCTTTTTATTTATTTATTTTTTCTTTTATGTTTTTTTTTTTGCCTGAGCATGATGCAGGGAAACAGCAGAGAAAAATGTGATTTTTTATAAGACTTATAGAGACGTTCAACTACTTTTTTCTTTCAAAAATAATGTTTTCAACAATTACATAAAAATCGTATTACTGTTATTTAGAAAAAAAAATAACTTCTTGGTCAAAAAGTCTTAAGATGCATTTCCTCACCTGTTAAATTTATGTAGAAGTGAATCAGCACATTTTCTGACAGTTATTTTTTTATCCTATTGATATTTTATTTTCAGGCATTTTTATAATTTCATCTATTGTAAATGAAAAAGAAATCCCTTTGGCATTTTTTTTTTTACTTTGGTTATGTTCAGTTGTTATTTTCTTCTAAATTAATTACAGTGCACATAATGTGGTAATACAAGTTTCACAACAAATTATTCAGATAGCATTAACACACTGTTTAAAATTAACTGCACTACATAATTTTCCTTGTTTATGCTTGAGGTTAAAGAGAAAAAAAGTTGCAAACAACCTCTTGATTTTAATATAATGTAAAGTTGGAAATAATCACTTCGCAAGCATGTAATAAAAACAGAAAAGAAGGCAATCTACATCTAATTTGTCTCTTATATACCTGAACATGTTTTTGTGTACATTGCAAGGAGCCATTCCATCTATTACACAGAGCATCTTCAGCAGATCGTCCTTTGAGGACTGAGCATGCCTAGCCACTGACCCAGAAATGCTCACTTTCAGGGTTAGTGCCTCCAAGTCTAAAGCTTCTTATTTCTGTGCTGAGTCCATTACGAAGGTACGGGGTCAGTTGGGCACTAGCTGCTCGGCCAGACGATGCCTGCAGCTATATCAAGCCGTCATTTCCCCCCCTTTTCTTTTTTCTATGCTTGAGGAGAGACAGCTCTAGGGGTAAATTTAAAAGTGGACTGATGGAGAGAAGAAGATATGAAAGCCTGAAAACAGCTCCTCCTCAAAAACCTACTCAGAGGACACCCCAGCAAAGGCACTAACAGCTCTTTTAACATTTTTAGGCCCGAGCAGCGAAAGCGCTGCGAAGGCCTCTTGTTTTTGCTCCGATTATTATTAGGCCCGAGCAGCGAAGCGCTGCGAAGGCCTATTGTATCTGCTCCGTTTATTATTATTACGCTTTCTTTTTTCTTCCGCGTCTTTGGGTGGCCTTTAGGGGGTCTTAGCATATCCAAAAACTCACCAAATTCTGGCCCAATATAGAAAGTGCGTGAAATTTACGTATTTCACTGGCGATGTGAAAGTTGATAAAAAAGTGGCTCGACAGCGCCCCCTAAAGAGTGAAAAATACCCCTCTCCATAAAGCTTAGTTTATCGTACAGTTATGAAATTTGGTATACTGGTACTACTCAACAGTCCGCACAGAAAAGCCTCTTGCAACCATGGTCAATATAAAACAGGAAGTCGGCCATTTTGGGTTGAAATGGCGATTTTTAGCCGTTTTGGCCATTTCTAGGGTCTATATTTGGTTGAACAGTTTCGTCATTTTTCGTACCATCGTCTCTAAAATAGTGTGCCATCGAACAGAAGCGATGGACGATTCAAATGAGAAAATAAAATTGACTTTTCGTAAATACTGAAGGGGCGGGGCCAGGCCTCAAAGTTCGAGCACTCGCCAAAAAAATTCAAATAGCTATAATTTCATAAATGAAAGAATTACAGTTAAAGTAACTTTCTATGGATAATTGCCATCGCCCCCCAAAGACAAATGAATGGTCGCTGGATGATGTCACACAAGCCCCGCCCCCTCAGGACTTAAAAGGTCAAGTTTTACTGGGAAATTTTCCAAAATTCGCCCTTTCGAATAATCTGCCCAAATTTGTAGCAGGTAACTGAAGAGAAGTTGGTGTTGCTTGGCGTCACTTTATGGGTGTTTTCTGCAGAAGGCGGGGCTGTGGCGGCGCGGCGAAGTCAGGTGTACCGCCGTGGCCATACGTGTGCCTCCCATGTCGTCATTTCTATAGATATAGTCACGAAACGTCTTGTGAGTGATCCTAGTCCGGCCCCCCAAAAGATCTCATGTGAACATCCGGTGGGCGTGGCCTATTTTCTGAAATAGCGCCCCCTAGGTCCATTAAAACTGTCAGCCCCAAGCCATGCTTTGACTGAGGAGTACGAAATTTGGTACACTAATGTGAGGTCTCAGGACCTACAAAAAAGTCTCTTGGAGCCAAGTGCAAAGTCGCACAGGAAGTCGGCCATTTTGGTCCAAGTACTCGATTTAGTGGTTTTCACACACGTTGTTTGGAGAGTGTTGCACCATTGCCCTTTTCACCAATCGCCTTCAAACTTCTGCTATATACTCTTAAGATAAAGCGGGAAAAATTCAACCGTCGGATTTTATACAAGTATAAAGGTGTGGGCGTGGCTAAGCCTCAAACTTTGACCTTTCGCCATTACATTACTTGACTTAACAACTCCCATGTGCATGATCAGATCTATATCAAACTGTGTCTGTGTGATCATTGACCACATCTCAAGACAATGACAATGTGGACAGCTGACATCACCTATGCCCCGCCCCCTGACTACAGGAAGTCTATTTTTTATGGTGAAATGCCCATATTTGTCCCCTCTACTTTAGTCAACATGACACTAAGGTCATGCACTGTCTTCATGATGTTGTAATGACCATTCAGATCTGATAGCTTTTCAGAAAGGGAGGGGCTTTGATGCCACGGCGAAT